GGTGTCCTGGGTATGCTCTTCGTACGTATCTACACACGGTTCTGTCTCGGATGTGTGGCCTGTGTCTGATGCGGGCACACGCAGCAATTCCGCCCGCAGGTGATCTTCCTGTCTGCGATGTTCCTCCAGTTGATCGCGTACATGCTGTGTGTGATCTTGGAGCGGGTAATTCCCGGTCCCGGGAGCCGCGTGTGGCGTGACAACTGGTTCTGGCGGTTCATGAATCCTGGCCCCTTCAGTGCGTCGCAAGTCATCGCGGTCGCGCGTATGTCCTGACAGGCTTGATTGCAGACATAAAGGAGCATGTAGCGGCGCAGATCCTGGCTAACACGACAATGTGCGTAATATGTGTTATGTCGGGCTATGATTCTAACGTGAATGTTTTCTGTTATATCACGTTGGCCCCGCTCCCTCTGTACAGTGGGACAGCGACAGCATGTATGGTTTTTGCGTCTGACGACCTGTTTTACAGCGTCAAAATCAACGTACGTTCGGTCCTCCCCTTACCCGTACACCTCGCCGTCTAACGCACCCACCCCGCTCTACTAGGCCGGGAACGCGATTTTCACCGTCCTCGCATCTCAGCTTGTTGGCTATGGGTTTGCGGGCATGTTCCGTGCGTATCGATCGCTCCATCTGCTCTCTCGTGCGCCCTGACACGCTGGTCGTAGGCTCGTTCCTCGTGTATCCCACTATCATGCTGTACCCTATCAACCTGATCTACGTCAACCTGTTCGACGCGCTGCACCGTGGCAAGGGCAACGTCATGCGTGGAAAGAGGTACGTCCCCACGCCTTGCGGCTACCACAGGACGGGCTGATTGTCGGCCTTCGTTCTCGTTCGTCAGGCTCCGATTCTTCTGGATCCTCACGGTCGCCATGTATGTCTTCGTCTCGCGATCGTGTACGCGCTTTGGCTGACCGCCCCCGCGCAGTTTCGTGTACGAGTGGTTCCCAGAGTACATCGCGCCCCTCCTCGGCGCATTCAACATCGTCTGCCTCGCGGACCGCAACTCCGAGTGGGTCTCGTACATCTTCGGCGGTGCCGAGGGAGACGAGGGCATGGGGCTCCTTGGGTTCGGCGTGGACTGGGCTAGTGCGTGTCGCATTTATCATCGTGCCTTTGTGGCTGCTGAGCGTGGTGTCTACAGACATCACCAGCGCGCCATTTTACCTCCCGCTTTCCACGCAGATTTCTAGTACGTATAACCTTCGGTCATCACAGACTTCGTTCTAAAGCCGGCTGCTTGTGAACTTGCAGACTACATCGGCTGGACGCTGTGCTACCTCATCCTGCCGCTAGTCTACTACGGCAACGTCTGGTGCGTTCTTGTCGTGCCACAGGTTTCCTCCGGGGGGCTGTCGCGCAGAACTAACGCAAAATCCCTCGGATCCGCAGGAATTCACAGAACTTCCCATTCATCTCCCAGAACTTGTGCGTATTTCCTCCTTGTGCGGTTCCATAACATGTACTCAACGCTGGACGATGATCCACAGGTTCTGTATGTCATTCATCCGGTGCTCCACTACGCTTTTCTAACCCTTCGGGCAGTCGAAAACGGAACGCTTTACGACCAAAACCTCATCCTCAACCCGTGCGTGCCCTTCCTCCCCCCAAGGCGCATGGTGTACTGATGCAGCACACCTCCGCAGCGATCTCTCGCTCAACGAGACCGCGTTCGAGATCTACGGCCAGCCCTACCAGTCGGGGTCGAACGTCGTGCGTGCCCCCTTCCCTTTCCCGCGATGCAGCGGCACTGATCAGTGCCACCATCGACGCGCGCAGATCTACTATCTCGGCATGAACATCGCCATCGGCGCGACGTTTGTGCACATCGGTCTGTGGCACGGCCAGGAGGTGCGTCGTTTGCTGGTGCGATGTCCCCCGCTGTGATGCTGACACTCGGCGTCGTGCAGCTCTGGGGCGCGTTCAAGGACTAGTGCGTACATCGTTACAGGCCGCGGCTCGCGGGGCCGCGCTGACACGTTTTCGTCCGGCAGCTTCACGGGTAAGCCGATCGAGGACGCTCACTACAAAAAGATGCTGGTCCGTCGGTTCGCGTTGGTGCTCCCCCTCATGTACGTACTGATCGAGGATCTTCGCGTCGTTAGGTCTACAAGGAAGGTAAGGAGGGATTGGTATCCTGCCATGCCGCCAATATCTGTTGAATACCTTGTCCCCAGTGCCCTTCTGGTGGTACGCCGCCGTCTTCTTGGCTGGTGCGTATCCCGTGTCACGGCCTAGGCACACCATGGCTCACATTTTGTTGGGGCCACACAGCGTTCGCGGCCGCAAGTGAGTACAACCACCTATACGCACTCTCCCGTTCTGAGCGACTCACCTCTTCGCCTACAACCAGTGGCGTGCATTTACACGTCCAAGTCTTCGTACGTCCGCATGCCCTCCTCGCGTCTGTGCACTTGACGAATGTCGGGTGCTGTCCAGGCTCCCGTGGTGGGCACTCATCGTCGGCCTTCTCTTTTCCGCGATCATGTTACCGTTCATCGGCGCCATGTTCGCCATCACTGGGTGCGTCTCTGCTTCTCGCGGCGTTGCGGCGCTGGGAGCTAACGACGGTGGCGCGGGCGCTCAGATTCAATCCGTACATGACGCCGCTCTTCCAGATGATCGGCGCGGGCCTTGTCCCCGGATCGTCGCAGGCTAACATGGTGCGTGTGGCGTGGCCATTTCCCCGCAGCAAGTCAACATGACATCGATCCTGACATGACACCGTATAGTATTTCGAGCTGTACAGCGGCCAGAGTCTCGCTCAGGCGCAGGCGATGCTGTCAGACCTCAAGCTCGGCCAGTACACCAAGCGTGAGTCCCCGTTGCATTATTCCTTGCGGTAGCCCTTGACCGACTTTGTGTGCTTAGTTCCGCCCAGGGTTCGTGTGCATCATGGCTAGCGTAGTCTTCGCGCCTTGACTTGTACTTCGGTTTCTAGGTGTGCTTCATCGTGCAGATCGTCGGCACCATCATCGGTGGTATCTTCAACTGTGAGCCTCCACTGCACCCTTCTGCGCGGTGTGACCGGCACTGATATGCGTGGATGTGTGGTCCAGATGTCATCACACAGGACGTCGTCAACAATGAACGCACGATTCTGGTGAGCTGTTCGTGTTAATGACGCGTCGGCTGTCCTCTGACTCTTGGCGACTCGGATACGCAGTTGAGCAACGAGGGATCACGTACATGGAGTGGGCAGCAGGTCCAGTCGTACAACGCGCTCGGTGCAACGTTTCCTCCTTTGGCTTGTTCGCCGCTGATACCTTTACAGCTGTCATGTGGGGCGCGATGGGCCCGAAGATCTGTGCGTCTCGACATCCCCATGTTGTACCACTCACTGATAAATTCTACCTTCGTCTTCTAGTCGGTCCTAGTGGCACGTACTTCATCATTCCGCTTGGCTGTGTCATCGGTCTCGGTGTGCCCATCATCCCATGGCTGTTGTACAAGCGCTTCCGCTGGGCATGGTGCAAGGAGCTGAACTTTGCCATCATCGCATGTGCGTATTTCGATCGCTCGCTTTCTCGTAATGTGGCGACATGGCTGACGTCTGGTGCGTCGACGGAATCGCGACAGACTACATTGGTGACCTTGCAGGTGGCACTAACGGATACATCGACACCTGGATCGTGGTCGGTCTGTTCTCGCACTTCTACATCCGTCGGTACCGTGCTGGGTGGTTCAGGAAGTACAACGTATGTGGCCCATCTTGTGTTTTTCTATGTTTTGAGTCAGTCCAATGCTCGTAATTGTGTTCACAGTACTTGCTCGGTGCCGCAGTCGACGGGGTACGTTTGTTTTGATATTTTTACGCATTTTACCTCGAGCAGTACTGATGGACGATTTGTTTCGCAGGGCTCCCAAATCTTCGTGTTCATCTACGCCGTACGTCGCTTCAAATGCTTTTGTGATATGATGTTGACGATTCTCGCACACAGTTCGCTGTTGGCGGTGCCGGCAATAACACGGTTGCATTCCCGACGTAAGCCCCCTTACTCACGATCTCCCCGTTGGACAACAGCTGATACCTGCCCCCCGCGTCCAGCTGGGCCCTCAACCCCGCAGGCAATGCGGACTACTGCGCAACAACCACGAGCTAGCCCACCCGTTATGTCCCTCTGTTGCGTCTCGGTGGATGTAGATACGTACGATACCTCTGTGCGCTCCTCAAACCCAATGTTTGTATCATTTTTCGCTGCTTTGCAACGCTCGAACAATCGGTCATGTATGATGAGTCTTCCTGTAATCGAAAAACAACTATCCTGTTGTATTATGACCGGCTCTGAGAAAATTGCAGCCGAAGTCGGTCTTCATCTGCTTGACCCTGGTGAGTCGATGCTTACTCCTGTAACCCATGTCTAACTCAGGTTCCAGGAAGAATGTTGAGGTATTGCCTGCGGATCCGCGCTATCCCAGTCGATGCGAGGTTCAGCCCTGCCTTCTCGCGTACGCTCAACGGTGGAGTCGAGAATGAAGGACACACACTGGTGTTTGTGAACTGTGAACCGCGCACTTGGTGTCTTATCGTCGTGCTCCTGGCCGTCGCTGCCGGACCTCTCCGACAGCGCACGCGGGCGAGTCTTTTGCTCGTACCCGCGCAAGCAGCAGGCATCCCCCGAGCGTGCCCCGTGTGCTCCCGCTTTTCTTCTCAGGGCTCTTCCCTGTGCCGCGAAGATGATGATTCTGACAGCTGCCAATCTGTCTCCGCTCTCCGTCCACATCATTATGTATGTCTTCCCGGCCCCTGACCTTGACCCTGTCCTTCGCAGAGGCGCTGCATAGCCTATCAGGTCCATCAGCACCAGGCACCAGGAACAACCATGTTTGGAGAAGGAATGCTCGACTCGTATTCTCCCTGACGAGAACCCACAGCTAAGTATAACGTTGCGCCCCTGCAGAATATTCTTAGGTCAGACACTTTTTCGGCGGCGGCATCTACAGACTCACGTAGCGAGAAACTTCGCTCACGCCCGATCCTCGAGAGGAGAGACTCTTGCGCCATTTTCCTCACCCATACACATAGATCAGCACCACCAAGAAATCGACTGGCGAATGAACACTACACTGTGTCAAAGTTACCGTACTATAATTTGCCACTCGTTGGCGATGATATCACCTAGCGGTCTGTCCACGCCTGAGCTTATCTATATTACCTCGGATCCAAGCACACATGCACTGGAATGATAAGTAGATGGCATTGCATCCCACATGCACATTTATTAAATGCTATACTCTGTACGCACCCGGATTCTCCTCGGAGCCCAGAATAAACAACTACTTATCTCGGCACGCACCATGTGCAGAGGGTCTATTTTTGCCAGCAGGCCTCGCGCACGCGACGTGCACCCCCGCTCTTCGACACCGGGCCAGCCTCGAGCTAGGGCTAGAATACGCAGAGTGAATCGAGTCGTATGACCACACGCATGTACACGAGAACCATTCCGCAGAGGAGTCCGGGACGAACCCACGAAGTGTCAGTAAGCGGCGCCAGCTGAGCACACGACCGTCGACGCCGTCACGCCGCACGAGACCGCGAAACAGCCCATCAATGCATTATGGTGATAAGCGCGGTACTAATTACTAGTAGGCAATGGCATCTACCGCGGCACTAGGGTGCCGGTGGACTCCCGCGATAAGCTGGGTATGGTCCTTGGTCCGTAACAACCACGGCACACCAGCGCGCCAGGGCCAGGCCTGCACGTCATCCGTGTCTTCATTTGCGTCTATGATTTCGTAGCGGCGCCTCAGAACGCTCCTCCATGGGGCACACTGATAAACTACGTGCAAGTGATGCCGGGTTATCGATGAAAGCGCAGAGCCAGTTGTGTGTCCGTGCGTGTAGTGGGACCTCCGTACATGCAAGAAATCAACATTTGTTCATCTGATGCACGTTGCTGACCCTTATCTTTCAAGTCGTTCAAAATTGGATGCTGATGCTTCTCAATAGCTTTCTCGCCCTCGAAAGGACGGTCTCTAATTTCCGCACCGACAAGTACCGCGCGATGCCATGCGCCAGCTTGGGTCTGACTCGTTGGACTCGGGAGCCATTCTTCGACGCGCCAGAACGACAGATGTCGACAACGTAGCGCGATTGCCACAATTTGTTGCGCCGTGGCGCGCGTTCCGGTAGGGCCCGGATGCGGCGCGAAGTCGGTATCACACAAATGTCACGCACCCGGACGCGTCGGGAGGCTCGCACAATGCAAATCGAATGGTGGGCTGGATCATGGACTGGGATGATGAAGAAATGAGATGGGCGCGAGAAATAAGGCGCATCATCCAAGGGACTTCCCACAACTCTATCTTGCGCGAATCTTGCTGAGTTACTCGACAAAGCGTACCGACCATATATAAGCAAGCTCAGGACATTGCCAGGCTTATCTAGCGGAAGCAGATCCAGCGCTGCGCTTGGCGGGACGTGGAAGGCGAGGGAGAGGTACTTATCGAACTATCAGAACGGTAGGCGATAGTAGTATGAGATAGTGATCTGGCCGTACGCTGCGGGAGGACTTAGCGCGTCGCGGGGGTATATGAAAACTACCCCTGGTCTAAAGAGTCCGAAGGCACAGGAGTACATGGATTGGTTTTTTCAATCCTCTGTCTGCCGCTTGAATACCTGTACTGACAAGAAAATGAATACAGTCGCCAACAAAACAGGCACGTACTACTCTCACACGGAATCATGGATGGACCTCGTGAGCGAAGCCGAATTGGACATCGTCGTAGCAAGGTTGTCACACGTCTGTGGCTGCGGGCTTTCATGTGTTATAGTGATCGATTCCCTGAACTGTGGCTAGATGACCCCACAACGCGAGGATTCGGGGCTATTCATCATCTTCCTGAGAGGCTAACTCACCAATCTTGCACGATACACAATAAGGTGGGACAACACACTCTGGGCATGAATAGGGGAATACCTGGGTAACTAAGACGTCTTGATGGTGATAGTAGCAGAGTAGGGCACAGACCAGCGTTGCCAGCATTCGAGCCGATTGATCCTGCGCTTGCCACAGGACACCTGGCTGCCCCGAGGTGATTGATCAACACCTCATCGCTGTCGAAAATTGTGATTCATTGATCTCCCTGCTCCTGCGCGCCATCGGCGATGGAGAAAAGCACACACCTGCGGTGCACTACAAATAAATCATCCTTTCGACGCCATCAAAAGGCGTTGGAATTGTGCGATTAGACTTTAAATAACTCTATGTAGCAATCTAACCTTTTTCCATAGTTGAAAAATACCCTCGTGCCTTGCCAAAGCTGCAAAAGGCGCATTCACCAAGCCTTCCACTAGGTCATGAAGTAAATCTTCTTGAGTCTCGTAAAGGGTCCATTTCCTACTAATGGAAAGGATGAGTTTTGTTGTTGTGACGACAGAATGTTGTCATCATTCTGCGCCAGAACGCGCGAGCATGAAACAGACGAGGGCGCATCGGTCGGAAGAAGATTAAACCGTCACAATTTGTTGAACCGTCACGGGCTGTGATGGTCCGATGGTCACATCGCCACCGATAGACGAGCGGCGGGGGCTCAAGAAAAAAGTCATACATGTCGCATTTCTGTTCCTGACAAAAAGCTCACGGGACAAATATGCCGTCGCGAAAAATGTAGGTTCAATAAATCTGTTTTCGCTAGCTCAACCGGTAGATCCATCGAATTATCAATCAAAGTCGCTGGCTGTTACAGATGTTGCCGGTTATGCGTCAGATGTGCACCACTACTTTGCAGGCCGGCAGACTTGCAATACTACGATCTCTAAGAATGTATCCAAGATCGAAGACGACGCATGCGAGATACGCTTGCGGAATATCACACAGAAAGCATGACATGTGCGTGTTTGCGTGCTCGTATTTTCGTCACATCACTTATCATGTTCGCCGCAAAGCTAACACCGGCCCCGATCTTCATGAAACTGCCGCCTATGCTTTTGGCACGCGTGCAAGGAAGATCGTCTGAACTCGATCAAAAACGAGTGAGCTAATTGCCTGTAAGTACCAGTGTCGATAAGTGGCCCGAACGAGCGCAAGGTACGCTGCCATATGACACCGTTTTTTTTTGGGTTATCCGCATCAGTCTGCCTCCTGCTCGACCGTCTCGGGGGGATATCGTATTTAAGAGTGGGGCATCGTCTGCATATTCTCATCGACTCCCCCTTCCATCGGTGTCAGTCGTCGCACCTGCTTTGCACTTCCAGCAGCAGCCATGCCACAGCACGAGGGCCCCGTCCCGCCCATTGAGGCTTCGGACCTTCCGCTCCCCCATGCCACGCTTGACCGCGTCGGTATAGACCACATGGACGACCAATACTCGACCGAGAAGGACGACGACTACAAGGACAAGGAGTCATCTGTCGACGACGTACAAGAACTCGACATGGACGACAACCCCGATCTGTACGACGAGAACGGTCGCGAGAAGGTCCTCCAGACCGCTGAGGATTTCACTCGTGTGATCATCTCGCTCGAGGACGACCCCACGCTCCCCATCCACACATTCCGCATGTGGTTCACCGGCATGGGTCTTGCTATCTTCGGTGGTGTCCTGGGTATGCTCTTCGTACGTATCTACACACGGTTCTGTCTCGG